CCAGGAGGGAGCGGAAGAACTGAATGTGAACTGGTGACATATGGTGCTCCTGGGGGGCCTATGACTCTAGGAGAGAGAGAAGGAGCTTGCTGAATGCCAGGGGACTAATTACCAGAACTTTTAGGGAAACCTTAAAGGCTAGCCTGATAGGCTTTTCATTCACGAAAGAAACATCCAGAGGGCAGGGGGTGAGCACCAAGAGCTTCGGATCAGCATCTTCAAAGCCGGGGGCTGGTGGCTGAAGTTTGCTCTGTGGTGGAGAGCCCACCTTCCTGCCCCTTTCCTAGCTCTTGGCCTGTTGAGTTGTGTCCGGTGTCCAACAAGGGGCCTGGCCGCAGCTCCCTTTTCTTGGGCTAGGTACTTTCAACCAGTTTTGAGCAGCCCCATTTCAGATTGGCCTTTTTATGTTTGATATAAAGAATAGTTGTTGGCCAATTTCATCTTTTCATCGCTGTTCTCTAGGCCTGAATCCAAGCAGTTTGTCAGATGCTCATTAACTCCCCCTTTGGCTCTTTCTAGTGTGTCTCCTAAGCTCATTGTGCCAAGAACTAACGCTTTCTTTTACACGATTCTCTTTCTCTGCTCCATCAGGGAGACAAATTACTTTCCAAAAGGGATCGCCAGGGATGGTTTAATGAGAATTTCTTTGGGGCTAGGCATGGAACGCAATGTAGTTAACATTCGGTGGACTTAATTGGACTTTTCTTTTCTGCCTCTTTTTAAAAAAATCTGAAGCTATCCTGTTAATCTCTCATTTGTAATCAATTGTGTTGACTAAACAAAAGTCTAGGTCGTCTTTTCTTCCTGTCCCAGACAATCCTTTGTTGCCTCTAAATGCCTCATTCTTGAGTGATCCTGGTCGTAGATGGGCTCGATTGTTGACAGTTCATTATTGCGCTTTTGTCCATTTAATCTTTCTTGCTGTGTTTTGCATGTGCATGCCTTAATGAGCTCCGTTGGCAATTAACATGTTTCTAGGAGCAAACTGGTTGCTCAGACGTTTGAGAGGGAAGTGCAGGGAAAAGGGCAACGCAGCTGCCTTGAGGTTGTTTATTTCCCAGCGTTTTCTCAAGACTCCTGTCCTGTCGTTAGCAGCTCCCCCACCCTGACTCTCATCCTCCCTCCCCTTCCCCCAGCCCCTTCACCACCGGCACACCTGGATGCCTTGGTGCTCTAACTCTCGTACCGGAGCTCAGGCAGCTTCCTATCCTCCCGTGAGCCAAACAGCAAAACGGGGACCACATAGATCCACTTCTGCAGCCAAGGCAAGAACCAGCACAGTATCCCCCAAAATGTGTCTGGATGCTGGCAACTTCTCTGTGTCGCTCTTTGCAGAGAGGAACCTCTAACCCGCCTAAGGCAATAGGACTGTACAATCTGTTATGTACGAGGCTGTGGCTTTGGAAGAAGGAGGGTTTTTTTTTTTTTTTTGAGTCTTGCTGGCAAGATTGCTGAAGTGTGAGCAGTCATGGACAGAACAAACATCTTGAAGGGGAAAAGATAATTGGAGTCTTTTTTGTGTCTGTGACAGGATTCCCCTCCCCCGCAATTTGATTTTTTTAAAATATTTTTAAGGGCGGCCTCTTCAATTTAATCAAGGTTAGAATATTAATATGCAGCTGATGACTACCTTGTTTAAGTCATTTATTAATATTGCAATCTACAAGTCATGCAAACAGTTTAATATTAAGAGGAGAAAAAAAATCAGAAAACAGAGCTTTTCACCCATCAATTCCGATGCATGGTGAATAGCTAAGAAGGATCCCAGTGGAGATGGTTACTGAAAGGCTTAGGGTTGGCTTCAGAACTTTTGCTGGTTTAGTCACTTGGGCAGAAGGTTCCTGTTCTCTTTGTACTTCTCTGCAGGTGAAGGAATCCTTTCTTGAATCCCACACCTGAGGCAGACAGTAGAAACCCGGAGGAGCGACTTCAGACCTGTGGAAAGCAGAGCCGAGCCCTATAGGTACAGGAGAACTCTCTGTTTATCTGCAATTACTGCCAGATGTGAAATAACACCTTCTCAGGTGAGAGCGATTGACAGGAGCTGGTGTGAAGGTTAAGTAATAATCAGGTTATGCGGAAACAACCTCAAGGAGGTTGGAGCACGGCAGACACTGCTCAGGTGTATCTCAGAGCCAGTTACTCACCTCCCCCTGACTGTAGAGATGAGCAGTCCAGGAGAGAAATGCCTCCTGCTCCACCCATTACTTTGATCCATTTGCTGTCTTGTTTGCAAGCATGCCACCTTCAGAACCGTCACCTGGAAACAAATTTCTCCAGTTTTATGAGATGGGCGACCCTTTTAGTCTTTCTCCTGTGGAAACTTACTACAGAAGAATTTCTCAAAGTTCTCTCCCTTGAAGGTTAGAAAGTTATTTTCCTGCATGGGGGTGTCCCTTCTTCTCTCTTTTTTTTTTAATCTTTTCTTCTTAAAGGGAAAGAAGAGAACTTGATCACGATTTCCACACGCAGGCCAACTTTTTAACCCAATTCTCTAAGTGAATAATGTGCACTAAATTTTGTGGTGCCTGCCCCCTGCCCAAAGTTCTGAAACTATTTCAAAAGAAGGTGGACATGCCCTGATCATTATCTGGTCTCCAAGAAGTGAATCTGCAAAGGATCCTTTCAGGAATGAAAGAAGGAAAGGATATTGGTTAAGAGGACTGTCACAGGGCTGGGGGATCTCCCAGAAATGGGGGAGGGGGTGTGTGTGTGTGTATGTGTGTGTATGTGTGTGTGTGTGTGTATAAGGAGGGTCTAATAAAACCTGGTATGAGAACAAGGAGGAAAGCTGACTCCTCAAACCATCCCGCAATCCCCCAGGGGATAGATGTCTGGGAAAAGCAAGGCGATATTTCCATATCCTTAGCCGCCAAGTCCTCCTCGCCCATCCTGGGGTTTCCTGGGGTTTGTGGCATCCATGGAGATTTCGGAGTTAAATCTGCATATCCCTCTGGGTCCCAATCTCCCCTCAGCGAACTGCAGCCAGAACAAGCTAACATTTAAATTCCTCCTCGCTTCCTCGTCCCCCCTCCCCTCACTGCGTCTTCCCAGACTTGGGGAAGGGGGGGGGGAGGATTACAAAAACGAGGACGCTCTCCTTTCAGGAAATGGAATTCTAATGTACACGTTCCTATTTCTGAATCGGAGGTACTAAAAATACTCCCGCGACAGCCTGAGGAAGCTGTCGCCGTCCTCTGTGCAAACAAAATCGACAATTCTCCTTCCCTGCGCAATGGGTCTGCAAATTGGGCGGAGGGGGGGGGGCGGGACCCAACCTTTGGCTGTAACCAGGACAGAGCTTCCACGCTGCAGGCTAAGAAAGGTCTTCCTGCGGGTCCTAACCTACAAGTTCCTCCCACCCACCCACCCCTCAGCGGCCCCCACGAGAACTGGAGGCAGTTTGGGTTCCTTTTAGCAGCCCTGAGTTCGAATCCCAGCCCTACCCAGTCCTGGGACCCGGAGGCATGCCATTGTGGCTTTGTTTCTCTGCCTCAATTTCTTTCTCCATCCAAAAATCATCCCCAGCTTTGAGGATTGTTGTGAACATTCGAGAGCACCGGAGCAAGCCCTCGGGGAAACGTGAGCTTTTAGGATCGTAGAAGCCCCTGGCGCGAGCAGCGCTGAGCTCCTACTGTATACCGCCCGGGTGTTGGGATAACCCGCCCTCGAGTCCCTTTCAGAGTTCCGAGGGAGTTTCCTTTTGCATTAACTAGCTTTCCCTCCAAATAACCTCCACTCGCCGTGGAAATCCGCGTGGGATCGGCGGCCAGCTGCCGCCGCCCTAGCCCTTGCAATGGCAAGGCTGCGTGGAAGCGCACTCCCCGGCCCCGCGCCACATTTCCTCCCCACGCTGGGGGAACATTGTTCCAGGAGACGTGGGCTGAATCGCGGCGCGAATATTAAGAGTGTGTGTGTGTGTGTGTGTGTGTGTGTGTGAGTGAGAGAGAGAGAGTGGGGGGAGGTCCGGCGCGCCGAGCCAGTAATCTGAGCTCTTGATTTTCCAGATTCGGATCAAACGGGGCGGCGGCGGCCGACCCCCTCCTGGGAATGATTAGATGATTAATGTAATGCTGTTTGAAGGGTCTCTGTTTTCTCTCTTAATTTGGGTCATTACTTAGGAAGCAAGCGTGAGATCATTTCATCAGCGTGCTCGGCGGCGGAGATAGCTATTCAGAAAATGGGCTAACTGCGCGGTAATCAGGGCGCGGGAGGCGGCGGCGGCGGCGGCGGCGAGCTCCGGGAGTCCGGGTGCGCCCTCCCGCGGCAGGGCGCGCAGCACCCGCAGGCTGCCTGCAGCTCCGCAGCGCGGGCCGGGGAGCCCCAGAGCTCGGGCTGGGCTGGGGACCCCGGGCACTGCAGCTCGTGTCTCCAGGAGAACCGGGGAGGACGAGCCCCCCCCCGCCCCCACCCCCACCCCCACCCCCGCGCCCGCCCCTCAGGTCGCCCAGAAAAGGGAACGTGCCCAGCAGCTCCCCAGGGCGGGGAGGAGGGTGGGGGGAGGCGGGGAGTGTCATTGCCCTGGCCGGTTGCCCCCCGCGCGGCAAAGCGATTTGCTGAAAGATGCACCTAAAACCGGCTCTCCAACACCCAGCCACTTTTAACCCCTCCTTTTTCTTTTCCTTTTTTTTTTTTTTTTAATTTTCTCACCCAAATAAGGCAACACCCAGAATCCCAAGCGTCGGAAGAGTCACCAACGAAAAACTTGGCACCACGTGTAGGCCGATGCAGACCTTTGCTCCCTCGCTCCCGGTGTGTATGGGGAGGGGTTCTCAACGTGCAAGCGCCGCAGGGACCCCGGCTTGGCTTCCCCCAGGTCCCAGCACCCCAAAGGAAGTCGCATTGGGGCAGGAAATGCCCTGAACGCCTTTTCCCCTTCTCATCCTCTGGGGTCGCTGGGCTGACCTGGCGGCGAGGGAGAGGGGGGTGGGGGGAGGTGGGGAAAGAAAACGCGCACTAGTGATTCTGTTTATTGAGTTAGACATGTATATATTCCGAGATCGCTTGTACAGGAGGATTTACAGGGTTGTATAAAGATGGCTGGGGGCGCCGCGCTCTTCCGGGGAGTTCACGTGATAGGCTGGGGTGAAAACCCGCCGCCCGAGCAGAAGCCGAGGCCTGGAAGAAAATGCGTTTCAGCGCACTGGGTTTTTAAATAAGTTTCCCGAATGCACAAAGGTGGGAGCCACGCGTTTGCTGCCAGTCATCGAGGAAACGTTTAGCTTTCCAAAAAATATGCTGGTTTCGATAAATAGATTTTTAGCCTCTCTGCTATAGTTTTTTTTTTTAATTTTCTTTTAATTTTAGAAATAAGTTTATACTTGTGATCTGTTTTGGGGCTGGATGGGGCTGGAAGGGAGGGCGAGGCAGCAGCTCTCAGCTCTGCACTGTCCGAGTCAGGTCCTTTGTGGAGGGGGCTGCAGGCCCCACGCTGTCGTGGAGTTTGCGCACGTGTTTCTTTAAGTCAAAGTTTCTGCAAAACCCTTTGCCGCAAGTGGCGCACGTGAAAGGCTTCTTGTCGTTGTGGGTGTGCATGTGGAAGGTCAGGTTGTAGACCTGGTGGAAGGCCTTGTTGCAGATGGTGCATTTGTACTGCTTCTCGCCGCTGTGGGTCAGCTTGTGGTTCTTGTAGTTGCCTACGGGAGACCAAAAACAAAAAAAGGAGGGAGGGGGGATGATGTAGGGTGTGTGTGTTGGGGGTGTCCCCCCCCCTCCCCCGCTCCTGAGCGTCCCGGGGTTGGCTCAGGTGCCCACGCAAAGAAGGCGACGCTTGGCTAGGCGGGCGCGACCTCTCCGAGTGAAGAAGTTGTCAAACTTCGTCTGCGTCAAGCCGCAGGCTCTCACGACGGGATGGAGGACCGAGTCCCGCGTAGCCTCCCCGCGCCCCTGCCCCGCCCGGTGCACAGGCCCCGCGCAGCGTCCCTCCCGCTGTGCTCGGCTGGCCCGGGGAAACTTTTGCACAACCCAGGGACGCACCGGGTCCTTCACCCCGCTGCTGCCTCGCTGGAAGAATTTCGCACGAAACCGGGCTTCGTCCCTCATTTTCTGTTTATCTTCTCATTTTTAAAGTTACTCCCTCTGGTCCCCCCACCCCGCCCCCAGCTACCACCTGGAGATCCAAAAGCACCTTGGAAACCCAAGCCGGGAGCCGGGCCTGGAGGTGCTGGGGACGGGAATGGTTTCCCCCAGTCTTGTTATTCCCAGGAGGTGGAGTTTGCCTCGATTTTTTTTTTTCTTTTTCATCTGAAAGGGGTGTCCCGGCTACAAAGGCAAGCTTTTTTCTATAGGGCAATAGTCTCTCTTTCTCCTGCTTCCTTTCCCTCTGCCTCTTCCTTCCTTCCCACCTCCCAAATTGGGAGTCTCCCCATGCAACCAGCCTGACTCCAGCGAGGTCTACTAACCCGGCCTGGAGAGCTTCCACCCAAACCGGTCACAACCCGATTCCAAAGAAATGCTGCTGCCGAGCTTGCAGCTCTCACGCTCCCTCTCTGCGGATCCTTCTTTGCCTTCCCGCTGGCAGTGACCCGCCGAGTCCCGAGGTGAGAGGTGAGGAGAGGGCCTCGCCCCGCACATTACCTTTTTGGTGAAAGCCTTTGCCGCAAAATTCGCAGACGAAGGGCTTGTAGCCCGCGTGGATGCGGATGTGCGTGTTGAGCGTGGAGCTGCGGTTGAAGGCTTTGCCGCACTGGTTGCATTTATGCGGCTTTTCCTGCGGAAAGGGGCGCGCGCACAGTGAGGCCAAGGCCCTGGCCAGAAGAGGCCAGCTCAGGGGTACCTTGAAGGGGTTCCTCGAAGGGATACGGGCCCCCCGGGAGGGGTAAGGGGAACCCTTGCCATCCTCTCCCCAACACCGTCGCTCAGCTGCGGGGTGTTGCGCGCGGGCCGAACTGGACCCGGGGGCCACGTACCTGGGTGTGGATAATTTTGTGTCTGCAGAGCGTGCTGGCCTGGCGGAAGCCTTTGCCGCAGACTTTGCACACGAACGGTCTGGCTCCGGTGTGGACCGGCATGTGGCGGGTGAGGTTATAGTGAGCATTAAACACCTACGGAAGGACACGAGGGGGCCTTGTGGTGTGTCCGTCCGAGAGAGACTACAAACTGGGGAGGCCACAGCCTACATCCCCCAACCAACACTCCCTTCCGGGAAACAGAGCCCTTTTCATTTCTCCAAGTGCTTTCCAACCCTCTGTGCACGCCAGTCCCTTGTGGCCGCTGACAACCGCATCCCCATTTTACAGAATGGGAAACTGAGGCCCAACTAGGACCCCCCCCCCTCTCCCTCCCACTGTGAGTAGTAGTTAGCTACAGGGCGCTCCTGAACTTGAGAAAGGGGCGGTCCGGGCTGCCTCGGGGAAGCAGCCATCCCTGCTCATCCCTCCCAGCCCCCGCGGACCCGGGGCCTCACCTTGCCGCACACCTCGCAGGTGAAGTTTTTGGGCTTGCCGTCCGCAGGGCCCCCGGGCAGCTTGCTGTGGCCCTTGACGCCGCCGCGCTCGGCAGTCAGGGCCGAGTTCTCCTTCAGCACCTGCTCCAGCGGCGCGGGCAAGCGCTCCTTATGCGCGTAGGGGGCCGGATGGGGGAACTTGTCCGCGGCCAGGCCGGCCAACTTGGCGTTCTCCAGCAAAAAGAGCTTGGGGTGCGCAGCCAGGGCGGCGGGGGCCTGTGCATTGAGGAGGCCAGATGGGAAGAGGTGGCCTCCGAGGAGCTCAGACGGCGGGTACGCGGCAGAGTCCAGGTAGTTGAAGTAGTAGAGCGAGCCGCTGGCCGGCAGCCCCACCGCCTGGTTGATGACCTGCGGCTTGATGACCCTGCCCGCCGGCAGCGCAGACGGCGCCAGGCCCAGATCGGCCTTGCAGCACACGCCACAGTTGGTTTTGCACAAGCCGCTGGCGCCGCACACCGGGGCCCCCCCGCCACCGCCGCCGCCGCCGCCGCCGCCGCCTCCTCCTCCTCCTCCTCCTCCTCCTCCTCCGCCGCCGCCGCCGCCCGCCCGGAGGCTGCTTTTCCAGAGCTCCGAGTAACTGAGCAGCGTCTTGGACGGCACCTCGTAGCCTAGGGGCTGGAGGGGGATCATACAAGGCAGCGGCGAGCAGAGGTTGAGCAATTTCTTGCCCTGGCCGCCGTCTGCCTCCAGCGTCCCCGGCCGGGGCTCAAAGGGCGCACGGGGCTCCGACGTCTTAGCCATGATGCGCTCGATGGAGAAGGCCAGCGTCTTGGAAGTGGCCGGCGACGCTCCAGCGCGCGGGCAGGCCGGGGGCACCATGGTCTCCAGGGAAGCCGAGCTGGCCATGGCGCGCCGAGCCGAGCCTTGCCGTGCCGGACTGGGCCAGGGCGCAGCCTCTCTCCTCTAAGTCTGCATTCCGGAAAAGGCAGGGAGGGAAACCGCAATTTAATAAGCACCTTGTCGGGTCCAGGTCACCCATTTGCATTCAAATGAACAGGGGCAGAACAAAGTGCACCCAAGGGTACCAAATTACCGCCCATTAACCCGGCGCGCAAAGGAACCCACCAGCCCCTGCCCTGAGACTTTGAAAGGGGGAAGAAGGGGGGAGGGTTTACAAAGGAAAAGGAGAGAGAGAAAAAAAGAAAGAAAGAAAAGAGCCTCAAATTAACCCCCCCTGAGCCGCTCCCTGGACCCTGGCCTCCGCCACGCGTGCGGGGAGCCGGACAGTGAAAGGGCAAAGTTAAAGAGGACCAGGAGAGCCACCTCGCATTTACCTCTTTCCCCCACCGCCAAGGAGATGCGTTCCGAGCCATGCAGCGTGTCTCCTCTGTCACATTTTGATGGCAAACATCTTCCCCTCCGCGTGAGATCACTGTCTTTTACATTCAGCTGACATCACATGAAGTCACTTGAAGTGGAATGACATGGGCGGCGGCGCGGCTCCCGTAGCGGCCCCTGTGTTCCCCCGCGCCTGCCGGCCGCCGCCGCCACCGCCCCTCAAACTTTAAAAGGAGGCAACTGGCGCCCGCGCTCCCCTCGGGAAAGTGCGAGCGGTTCGCGAATCGGGAAGGAGGGAAGAGACGGGAGGGGGGAGGGGGAGGAATCGTGATGGTTTTGCCGGTGGAAAGAAGGTGGGGGGAGCCCAAACCCAGGCAGAGTTCTGTGAGAGATTCACAACTTTGGGGGCCTATAGGTTTGAGGGACGCGGGGAGGGCAGAGGGTCCTGCACGCGCCGCCCCAAAGGGCCCCCGGGTGTCCGTCTAGTCGCTGAACTATCCCTTAGCCCTCTGCAGCCGAGCTGGGCATCGTGCTAATAAACTGCCATTTACCCACGGAGCCGGCGCCAGCCCCGAACACGCGCAAATGATAATTACCTCATTAGGATGTGGCGCATGGACGCGGGCGCCGCGTTTGGAAGGGGGGGGACTTGTTAATGGGGAAATATTAATTTATGCAAAAACAACGAGCTCGCCTGGGCTGGCGTCGGAGGTCGGGGGAGAGCTCCCGCCGCCCAAGGACGACCCCGTAGCGTCCGGAAGAGCAAGGCCGTGCGCCCGCATCCCCGGGGCCTCGGCGCGCCCGGCAGGTGCGCCTCCTCCTCTCTGGCCGCCCCCTCCCCCCGGCCCCCCCGCCGCCTGCGGCTGGGGGAGACTGCACAGCAAGCTGGAGGACTGTTTGAGATCCTAATCGATCAGCATCGCTGATCTGTGATCGGGTTTCTGAGGCAAAGCCCGGCTCTGCTGCCTGGTTCAGGGGCTGCGTGCGGGGCGGATTCGGAGGGCAGCTCTCCCTGCTGATGGGTACTTACTGTTTGTATAATTGAGAAGGTCCAATCCCCACCTGTTTAAGGAGCAGATTGAAACAGCAGAACCTCCCCTGGATCCTATTAAAACGTTTTTCCTCCTAAGGCCATTCAGTCGAACCAATTTTCCGAAGTGATTCATAGAGCTCAATTCTGCCAAGGCAGCTCTTTCACTTTTAGCCACTAAAGCACCGCGTGGAACCGGTTTTGTGTTTTTCTAAAATAAAGAGAAGGATTATCAGAGGGGAGAGGGAGGGGGCTTGAAGGGGGGCGGGCAGAGACTTAGTGTGGCCAGAGGTACAAGCAGAGGGAAGAAAAGGCCCTTTTCTAGACAGGCCCCAAGTAAGTTCGGAGGAATTCAGCGTTTTTGTGCCTGGCGCACAAAAGCAGCGCGCTCCACGCTCGGTTTGGAGGGGCTGAATTCATCTGTTTGCAGACCATTCCACCTGCGTATCACAACAAACTGCTCAAAGACGCTCCAGCACTTTCAACAGGCCGGGTGCTCTTGGCGACAACAAAAGTGGTCGAGGCTGAGGGTTCTTACCGTGGTGGTTGGGGAGGAGGGGGGGAACGGCTAGCAAGAGAGAGAGCGAGAGAATTAGGTTTGTGGAGGAGGAGGAGGAGGAGGGGGTGCAGGGGTTTTTAAAAAACTTTTGGACGGTTTTGTTTGCGGGACAATTATATCTTGCCAGCCGGCTTTTGCAAGACCACGAGCTTTGTAGCCGCAACCACAGTTTAAGAGGATTACGGTGGGTATAATATGAGCAAACAGGGCTGAGGTTTTGATAGTGAATTTCATCTCTAAAGATACACGATCTCGTGGAGCCCAAGAAAATGCTACTGGAAGCAAACCCTTCCCTTTTGCTTCACTCAGGAACAGGTCTTGAGAAACTGAGTATCCAGCCCGAGGCCTCTCAGCTGCAAAACATCCCAGAGAACCATCAGGGAAAGAATGGTAAAGGTCTAGTTTTAACTGGAGGGAAAGCACTCCTTTTCCCCTTCAGAACTTCTCCCGGCTGCCCACTCCCCCTCTGACCTGCGATTTCACACCCGATAGCGACCTGGCAGGTGAGGGAAAGGGAAAGCAAGGGGAGGAAACAAAGAGATGTCTCCAAGGGCAAGTGGCCTGGAGGGTGACATAAGTGGGTTGAATTTTTTCCCCCTGACCAGCTGGGAAGCTGCCTCTGCTGCCCCTAAATTCATCAGGCATGAGCCTGTTCCCCTAAAACCCTCTCCCCAAACTTGCAGATTTCGAAGCTAAGAAAGAAGCTTGCTCCTTTGAAAAATATTTCCATATACAGCCCATTGAGTTTAGATGTTCAGAGAAGCAGAATTCCAGACCCAGTGTACCCCCATCCCTATGTTAATGTGAAAACAATGTAGAGGAACTCCCCCCACTACCACCCCCCCACACACACACACACCACCACCACCGAACCCGAAACAGACCAACAACTCACCCCGACATTGAAATAGTATCAATACACCCGCAGGGGCTCAAAACCCGAATTTCTATCCCGACTTTCCTGCGGGTCTCGTTCAGTCACCGGCACTGCACCCCAACTCCCCTTCCAAACTGGGTAATTGTGGATCTCGGCAGCATCAGAGATCTGCTGGTTTGAAAGCTCCATCAGGCTGAAAGGCTTCCAAAGGCTTCCCGTGAACCTGCCTTGCCATCCCTAGCGCTTTTTGTAACAGCATAAGCCATCCCGCTCTCCCCGGCACCACAAAGGAGTGCTACCTCCACAGAAAGAAAACATTTGGGTAAAAACAAGTTGCCCCTAATGTGCCTCTCTTTCCAAATGTTGGGTGAATACACTGGCTTTTATAAAAGTATTTAATTAGCTTCCACAAACTTCTCCTTCCCTCGCCCGCAGATTATATTGAAGTGGAGGGTTGGAAACTGTTTTACACCTTGCCACTCACATGTTAATTAATCTCTATCTAACCCTAATTGCAGTTTATTCAAGCACCGCTCAACAGCTCACCCACACAATAAACACTGATCCTACTTTTATACATATTACTTCACGTTAACACATTGAGTAATTAACTCCAGTACCAACTAATAGTGCAAACAAATATTTTCTGTAAACGAGATGATTTCAGGCAGAATAAAAGAGGACTAGGGAAACGTGGCACTTGGTGGAGGGAATGCTGAGACTTCCCTTCGCTGCCCCCCAACCCTTCAAACTCATTCTCATTTGCAGCATTTTTTTGAGGCTGAAATGTGAACAAAACAAAACAAAACAAAACGAAGAGGGGCAACCACAGGAATTAAAATTTGACAATTTCATTAAGTTGATGGCGGGGTTCTGTGAGATTAGGGGTCACTTTTTTCTACCTACACATTTTCAGTGATGGGTGGGCAGGAGAAAATCCAAAGTAATTCCAACATGAAGGGGAACAGGAGGCTCCAGGGATCAGGAGATGTTTCAAGGATGTGACTCCTTCTATGGAAAATAAAGTTTTCCAAAGCTTCCTGCTCTTAAAGAAGTCCTGTCCGTCAAAGCAATGGTTCAAAGTGGGCCAAGACCTGGGGTGAGATATGAGAAGTCCCATCTCTCTCCCATTCCAGACTGGTACAAAAGCTCCACTGTGGAGGAGCAGGTGCCTTGGGTGGGCAACTGGACCAGGCTAGCCACTTTACCTGGAGGCACGCGGTCTTGGCCCAGGCGAGGCCCACTAGGCCTCAGCGCCTACTGCGCCCAAGGGCCTCCTTCCGAGGCTGCCCTCCTACACCCAAGCCCGCCTAGGTCAGCCTCACTCCAGACCCTGCGGACCGCGGTCCATCACTCTTGGCCTGCCAGGCCGGACCCACCGTGGGGTCCTCCTCCGCTCTGAGGCCTCAGCTGCGGGCCCATCTCCTTCGGGCATCTCCGCCGAAAACCAGACGCTTTTGGCTCGGCCCATCTGGCCCGTGCTTGGTCCTCAGCACCCCTGCCACGGTAGGGCATTGCTGCCAGAGTTAAGCCTGACGCCCCTCCGTGGCCTGTGCCCTTCCCACGCTGCAGAGCAGGGTGCCAAGGCCGGGCGCTTCTGCGGCTCGGCTGGGCCTGACCCATGCCGCGACCTCGGGGATCTGCGGCTGTGGGACGCTGCACCCGTGCCAAGCCACTCGCACACCACTGATTGGGGATCCAGGCTCAACCCCAAGGACTGGAGCGCAATGTTTTAATTGAAATCGCAGGTTTAAGCACAGCTGGCGCTGTCTATTGATTTTGCAAGGGCTTCTCTTGTGGGAAGCATATTAAATATGACTGGCGCTGCTAGAGCCTCTCCTCTCCTCCTGCACCCTCCCTCTGGCCTTTTTATGGTCACTAACCCGAACACTGTGTAATGATGACTTTTGTTTAAAATTTTTGTTGTTGTTGTTTAAGGCCAGAAATCGCCCTCATTTTAGGACAAATTACTTCGCAGACGCCTTCCCTGGGTGTAGACAACCTCAGAGGAAAATCCCCTTTCTTGGGCAAAAGCTCACACTTTGCACCACTTCTGGCATCACCGAAGAGGAAAGGCAAGCGTTTCTACTACAGAAAAGGTGTTGCAGTTCCAGCTCTGGTCGCTTGTATCTCTTGGTTCTAGATGACAAGAGGCACTATTATTTTAAATATTATTATTATTATTATTTTCTCACCTGAGTATTAGGTTGCAATACTTAATACATCCTCCTGCCATCTCTCCAGGGGGCAGACGGCGTGTTCCAGGCTCCTGGGCTTGGGGGAAATACCCACCGGGCTGATTCCAGGTTTCCTCCCCCGCTCCTCCGTAACTTGTTTGGAAAATAAAACAAAACACCCCCAAACCAAACTTTGTGGTTTAAGGACTCTTTCTCCTTCCCTCTCTTTCTTACTTCTTTTTAAAGGGATATTTAGGATCTGATTTACACGGTGCCACGCTTAACCGCTGAACACAGATTAACTTCTGAAAAGAAATTTTTCTGCGATCCTCTTTTTCTCCACCACCCCATCCCTCCCCAGGAAGCATTTTATTGAAAACATTCGGACCGGCTTGCCAGGAGCGGGATTGTCCAAGGCTCAGGGGCCTCCGCCTTCGGTGCGCGCGGTTTGCAGGATTAGTGCGGCCAGGAGACAAAGAGCCCCAGATACCCGGGCCGGGCGAGACCGGGCGCGCCCGGGGAGCTCCCGGGTTCCGGATGCCCGCGCAGAGCGCGCGAGCGCAGTCTCGGGCCCGGGCCTCCAGGGACAGATGGGCCAGAGCCATCTGCATCTGCCCGCGTCCTCGGGGAGGCTGCGGCGCCCACAGCCAGGGTGGCCGAGCGCCCGTCCCACTGCACCCGGCGGCGGTTCTGCAGCACCCGTTGCATTCGGGGACTAGTTTGCAAATCTCAGTGCACCCACAGACTGGTTTTCACCCTTGAACACGAGAGGCGCCTATAAGCCAAGGGCGGCCGAGCTTTGCAGCCAAGGGAAGAGAATCAGGCGGTGGAGCAAACCTATCATGATTTCCAGAATCCTCCCACCCCCTCTGCAATCACATCAGAGGACATTAGCTACGCATTTGGAAATCTGGGAATACCGCTCCTAGGCCAGAGGGATTCTCCCCAAAATGCAGAGCAGATCTGCAGTCTCCACCCATTCAAGTTAAGTGCGCTCTTCTGACTACTGGATGCACATATAATCACAAATTAAATATATGTTTAAATTCGTATATAATTAAGTATACATATTTTAAAAATACATATATTACATGTTATATATGCGTTATGTATGCGCATTGTATACGTATGTGTATATGTATATGTGAATTCACTACAATCGACACCCCTTCACTTAGAAATGCCATTTAATTAGGAATCTGATCCACTACCGTCGCGCAGCAGTTTGTCAGCGGACGTGTCATTTTGCGAGATGCAGCGGGGAAGGCAGTCGCCTCACGCAAATGAGTTTTCCTCTTGTGATGCAGTTTTGGTGTACAACCCAAAGGAAACATTCATATATGAAGAACAATAAATATATATATATTACACACACTTAGACATATATACATATACATATACGTACATATATGTGTAATATACAACTTTTGTATATATATGTCTATTATATTTCATATACATAAATTTCATGTATATATAATTTTCACACATATATATAATTG